TACTCCAGTACCATACTTCACCAACTGCTGTCCCCCTGAAGGCACTGCTTAATGTAATGGTACTGTACTGTATTGTGTACCGGTAAATGGTACCATACTTTACTGCACTGTCTGATGTCCCCACTGCTGCACCGCTGGTACCACTGTCCCTGGTGGCAAAGCAAGCCGGCGCTGTAGAAAGCAAGGCTGCGGCGGCGGAGGGAATATTAGCCGATATTCCTCTTTAGCGCCAGTTACTGTGACAGGCGGAGTGATACCTGATAACTTTGGATTGTTGTACATTAAAAATAATAAGACATCCCTTTGAAAATAAGACCTAGTGTGGTTTTTGGGGGCAAAAAAAATATAAGACAGTGTCTTATTTTCGGGGAAACACGGTACATGCAAGTCCATGATTCAATCTATGATTTATGCCTGCTCTTGCTTGTTTAATTTAGTAACTCAGCCTCCTTTTTAATAAGTTTGTATTTTAGATAGCATGTTATGTTATTATAGCATATTATATGTTTTATTTAGACAGTGATAATAGTTTTTAACGTGAATAGTTTCTTGGAATTAAAGATTGCTTCAGTATGGATGCAATAAACTGCTCTCAAGAAACTCTCAAACTGCCTGCTAAATGAGAGGGTCAGTCTAATTATCAGCACTTCTGAGCCGTCCCAGTGTTTTAGTATGACATGGAGTAGCATCTGCATCTTATTAACCATGCATGAGTCTTAGAAAGCATCTCGGCGCTGAAAATCAAACTCTTGGCACTGGAAATACCTGTTGTTTGACTTCAAGCTATGTGCAAACTGTTGGGAAAATAGCGAGTCAACCACCAAGCAGGAAATAAGATTTGGGGGGGGGTATTCTGTACAGGGCACCGAAAGGTTGTTATTTTGCAGAGAAGCAACAATTGGATTTTTGTCACTTTTAGAAAGTCATAGATTTTGTATATTGGAAAGGGAAAGGTAAATATTAATAGCAATAAAGGAGAATTATGGGGTGAGCGAAGAACACTCATCCCCATAATTCAAGCTGATCTGTGACAAAGAAGCTGTCACAGGTCAGTCCTATTGATCGGGAAGTCAGCAAACATATACCGCCGATCGCTGACTTCCTGATCCTCTCCCTGCAGACAGCGGTGACTGTCAGTGTGTCCCCCCTCCCCCCCCCTTCCGTTTCTCTAGCGCTGACTGGAGGAACAGAGGGGGAAGGGGGTAGGCACAGCTGGCTCTGCCTCTAGAGAGGCAAAGCCAGCTGTCAATCAGCCAGTGGGGTGGATCTCGACACTAGTGTCAGGATCTATCGCAGCTGTGGAGCAGCCCTGCACTCTCAGTATCTAGCGGGCTATAGCCTGCTATATATTGAGCCCTGCACTCTCAGTATCTAGCGGGCTATAGCCTGCTATATATTGAGTTTTGGGTCACCGGAGGACACAATATATGTTCCCCTGTGTCCCTGAAGAGAACTATAGGTTGCCCCATTGTTCTTGTTTAAACTGTAGGCAGATATAAAATATTTACTAAGACAACCTCTGGATATGACGCTGAGCACGTGCACTCAACTTCTTTGGTCGACCATGGCGAGGCCTGTTCTGAGTGGAACCTGTCCTGTTAAACCGCCTTATGGTCTTGGCAACCATGCTACAGCTCAGTTTCAGGGTCTTGGCAATCTTCTTATAGCCTAGGCCAGCGATGGCGAACCTTTTTGATCCCGAGTGCCCAAACTGGATCACTAAACCAACTTAAGTGTCTCAAAGTGCCAACCCTGCACTTCGACCCAAAAACTGATGATTTCTTTTACAAACACACTTCATACCACTGTTTGAACTAATTATGTGCTCTTAGGTGGGCTCTGCGGTTGTCCGTATGGGCTCTTGGGGGCTGTGCAGCTTACAGGTGGTCCATATGTGCTCCTAGTTGGGCTCTGCGGTTGTTTGTATGGGCTCTTGGGGGGCTGTGCAGCTTCAAGGTGGTCCATAAATGGTCTTAGGTGGGCCCTGCAGTTGTCTGTATTGGCTCTTGGGGGCTGTGCAGCTTCAAGGTGGTCCATAAGTGCTCTTAGGTGAGCTCTGTATTTGTCTGTATGGACTCTTGGGGGCTGTGCAACTTACAGGTGGTCCATACGTGCTCTTAGGTGGGCTCTGCGGTTGTCTATATGGGCTCTTGGGGGTTGTGCAGCTTATGGGTGGTCCATATGTGCTCCTAGGTGGGCTCTGCGGTTGTTTGTATGGGCTCTTAGGGGCTGTGCAGCTTCAAGGTGGTCCATAAGTGCTCTTAGGTGAGCTCTGTATTTGTCTGTATGGACTCTTGGGGGCTGTGCAACTTACAGGTGGTCCATACGTGCTCTTAGGTGGGCTCTGCGGTTGTCTGTATGGGCTCTTGGGGGCTGTGCAGCTTACTGGTGGTCCATAAGTGCTCTTAGGTAGGCTCTGGGGTTGTCTGTATGGGATTTTGGGGGCTGTGCAGCTTCAAGGTGGTCCATAAATGCTCTTAAGTGGGCTAGGTGGGCCCTGCATGTATTGTTGTGTATAGGCTGGAGCGGGGATGGGCTGTGCAGCGTCCAGGTCATCTAAAAGTGGTGGTCCTTAAGTGGTCTCTAAGGAGGGCTGTGCGGCTTCTAAGGGCAGATCCAGCTTTCTAATTAGACGGCCGCTCGCTGCTGGCTTGGGCACTGAGGGGCCCCAGTGAGCGGCCGTCTAATATGCCCTCCTATGTCTGAGGCAATGGCACCATAGCTAGAGCGCGTGCGCCTCACATACCTTGTTAGTCGTTGACGTCACTGCGCCTGCGCGGCTCCTCGTCCTCAGTGCACTTGCGTGGCAGCAGATGACGGCATCTCCGAAGCTCTTTTCTGCGCCTGCGTGCCTGTCAGTGAACTTGGAAGCCATACGGCGGACCTGGGCTCACGTGCCAGCAGAAACAGCCCCGCGTGCCTGCTGTGGCACGTGTGCCATAGGTTCGTCACCGCTGGCCTAGGCCATCTTTATGTAGAACAATAATTATTTTTATCAGATCCTCAGAGAGTTCTTTGCCATGAGGTGCCATGTTGAACTTCCGTTGACCAGTATAAGAGAGTGAGAGCGATAACACCAAATTTAACACACCGGCTCCCCATTCACACCTGAGACCTTGTAACACTAACGAGTCACATGACACTGGGGAGGGAAAATGGCTAATTGGGCCCAATTTGGACATTTTTACTTAAGGGTGTACTCACTTTTGTTGCCACTGGTTTAGACATTAATGGCTGTGTGTTGAGTTATTTTGAGGGGACAGCAAATGTACACTGATATACAAGCTGTACACTCACTACTTTACATTGTAGCAAAGTGTCATTCCTTCTGTGTCATCACATGAAATGATATAATAAAATATTTACAAAAATGTGAGGGGTGTACTCACTTCTGTGAGATACTGTATATATATTTCCAAACAATGTAAGTTCCTGATTTTGACTTGGTATCAGCCTCTTGTAGTCCCTGTTCAGAGTGGTATAGGAAAAACCAGCAGAAGAGGCCATTTAGATCATGTTCATTCATTGGGCTTATAAAAGGAGGAGCAAGCAGAATGAAAGAGAAATTAGCTAATCACTGCTGTGCTTCTCTTTTCACTGTCCAGTTAAAGACTGGAGGAAGGTCAATGACAGACTAGACTCAGAGAAAGTGGGTTGATGATGGCAATCATCACTCAACCCCCAAAGACTGAGGGCATCTAGTGGCAGAAAAGTACTGTGATAGGCAGCTCTAACCCAAAGGTGATTATTGCAGCACAAGTGGATTTTTTGTTTTATTTCAATAGACTATTCATTTTTAGGGCTGGAGCTCTGCTTTAAATGTATTTTAAATAGTTCTGCAGTCTCTTTATATATGACATTTTTCTGGGAAAGAAGAGACAGGGCTGTACACAAATCCGTCTTTACAGCATTACACAGTATATGGGGAGAAGGATATCAGAAGAGAGCAAGGGTTGACCTCATCTGTGTTTTGCTGCTCCTTGACTATGCAGTTGGGGCCTAAGAGGTCATTCATCTAGCACAATTTCGTTTTGGCTATACATACACATTTAACACAATTTTGTTAAAGTGTACATATAACCAAAATGTTTTTTTTTTTCAGTTTTGAATAGAGTAGGGAGGGGTTAACACTAGAGCTGCAGCTAACGATTATTTTCAAAATCGATTAGTTAGCCGATTATTAAGTTCGAACCACATCAGTTTATTTTGTGTTGTCTGTGTTCCATTGGGTAGATTTCCTTTTACTTCCTGTAGTGAAGACTGAACAGGAAGTGATAGTAAATCTTTACAACATGATGGGGATTAGCTTCTTAGACAGTTATCCCCAGAATACGTGCCCCTATTGGAAGATTATCCCTCTACTTCTGCGGATAACAGTAACATTTTGGATTTGCCATTATTTTTTGTTTTGGTGAATGTAGCCAACAGGACAGATAGAGAGGTTGAAGCTCCTCAGTGGGACACAGAATGTAATAAAAGGTTTACAGGATTTCTAATCCTTCCCCATTTTACCCAATACTTAGACCCTATTCACACTGAGCGATTTGTAGCGCGATTTCTGTTCACAAATCGCTCAAATATCGCTCAAAAATCGCTCAATGTAGCTCGTCCAAAGTATTTCAATGGAGCTTTTCAAATCTCACAGCTCAATGTCGCCTGTAGCTTGTAGCTCAAGCTTGTCGCTCAAACATTACCTATTTTTCCAGCGGATTTTGTGCGACGTGGCCCCAATAGGCTTTGGTAGACTGCCAAAAGAAGCTCTATGTAATGCGACACAATGTGCACTGTAGCTCAATGTATGTCAATGTCGCTCAGCCCAAATCAGCGCTGTAGCTCAGTGTGAATGGGGTCTAAAAGGACATTTTTTTGACTATACATATACTTTAACTACAGTGAAGAAAAGTTTGGTCAGATTCTGGCAGTCAAGATAATTTAGACAATATTTAGACAATAAATTACCACTGCTGAAAGTCTAATGCACATTTTTAATGAATGTTTAGGATTAATACCTCATGGACTTGTCATTGGAACACTCATGGGTGATGTTCAGCATTTAGCTTTCCACTCTAATGAAAAGCTGGTTGTTACATGCGCAGGAACCAGAGTATTTATACTTCATTCTCAGGTAAGTCAAGTTAAATATATTGGTACAGCTGTTGAAGAGTGAACAAAGTCTTACAAGTTTATTTGACCCCTACATTTTTTGCTATATATGATCAAATTAAGTGGCCTCAAATTTTCATAATATGAAGTATTTTATTTTAGGAAAATGATAGAAAATTGCTGGCAATTATCCTCCAGTTTTTTCAGTTATGATACCCATAGAACTTCTTGTGTTTATATAGTACAATACTCCTTTTTCCTAAAAAAAATATGTATATTCTCGATGTTCTAGCACTTCCTACTTCATTAAGAGAAAAGGTACAGCAGTATGATTAAAGAGTTTGTAAACCCAAATACTAACGTTGAGGAAATATCTCCGTTTTGCTTTGTAAAATGTATTTGTGCAAAGTTTTTTCTTTAATACTGGTTTGAATAAACGTTTAATAAATACCTGATAATCCTGACAGGTTCTGCTTTTTTCTAACGTCTTCTCTTATAGGTTGACCAGCAACTCTCATTGCAGCAGGATCATGGTCATTCTCCTGTGTGAACTACAAACAGCTGTGGTTACATTCAATGCCCCTTGGTGGTTGATTGACAGCTGGTCTGACCATTTAGGACACTGTGACTTCCTGTAACTGTAAATAGTAAAGGAAGAATTCAGCTTTACTCTATTCCACGCTGAATGAGTTTATTGAAAGTTCATCAGTGACACTGAGTCCTGCTAGTGAGCACCCAGCTGTCTGTGGAGGAGCGGTGCTTTATTTCTATGCCTTGGTATTCCTGTAACTGCAACTGCCACTTTTGCTGAACAACTTGACTTGTTATAGGAAGTAGAAAAAAATCAGATCTAATGGTAGGATCAACAGGTAATAAAGCTACTGTATGAATTAGTGGGACTCAGAAAACAAGCACCGCTGTGTTCATGCTCTTGACAGATTGCATCATATATGTAATTTTTTCCCCATAGTTCTACTTAATGCTGAATTATACATTTATGGAAAAAAGGATTTAGAATTTAAGAAAAACTAAAACAATAAGCACAGTTTTATGTTATCAGCTCCTAAAGCTTTAATGTATTGACCACGACCATTACTGAAAGCTTTTTACTTAAAAAATGGATGAAAATGTCTCACATTCTTTCACCGCAGGCACAGACCCCAGCTCTGTTCGGCTGCAGAACAACATGCGGCATCAATATTGTGGTCTTTACAAGCCAAATCTACTATCTGAAATCTTTATTTCAAACCAATGCCTTGATGCGTTTTGCAATACTGTGATTATTTATAAGGGTTGAGTTGTAATTTGTATTCGCTGACCCTTTATATATCCACAGTATAGATGTCACTTTACTTATTCTTATCATAAATGCTATGAAATAGGTTGTGTGCTAAGCTAAGCAAAAGGGCATCTACATTATCCAATTACTGTATGTATTAGTGTTGTTTATAGTTTTTTTTTTTAAAAGACCGTAAAATGTAACAAATGTACAACAAACAAGTGTGAGGAAATATTTAATTACACTACTGTCCTGTGCGAATGGATACACAAAATGAACATTGTATATTTTGGATTTCGAATTTGATTTTAATTGTGGTTTTGTGATTTAATTAAAGCTAACCAAAAAGGGTTCAGTTTTCATGACCCACATGTCAACCTCCTCTGGGCACCTAGACATAGAAATATGGGGGAATGGTCGAAAATGTCTTGCCTCATATATGTAGAGTGATATCTTAAATTCCCAATGCAAGGTGAAGTCTTGACAACAAATTATGTGTTTTGGAATAGCATGTGTATTGTTTTTTTAATGTGGTGTAGCATTTGCCATGGTCCAATAAATACTAGTTCATCACACAGTTTTCCGCGAAAGGACATCTGGGTGTTCCCCACAAGAGGAAATGTGTCCAATTTAGAGTTTCAAAAATTATTATTAAAGTATCCAAGTACTGGAATATCCCCAAAAATAGGTTATGAAGTTTGTCAGCTAGATATTTTGCTAAATGCTTGATGACCTCACAGGACAAGGGAGTGGTATATAAACATTAGCAATGACATATCCTAGATGCTATATGTCATAAAGAGGTACCTTTCATTCATGTCTATCTAAACCTGCTTGCGGGAGAACATAAAAGTAAGCTCAAATAAACTAATTCCTCCTGGCGTCCGAGGAGTAATAATGTAGGGATAATTGAAAGTACTTGCTAATCAAATACTTAAATGGTTTAGCTAGCAAATCAATCTTTTGTCGACATATCAAAGATAATTTACAATGAGAGATATGGTCAAACACTGGGCAACGAGAAAAAGAAGAGAAACTATACCTTATCTTGAAAATTACAACAAAGGCACCTTCAGAAATATTTCGTAATGGCAAAGGTCCACATTAAGAAGGTTGTTCAACACTTGTAGAGTCCAGGAAAGTCATCTGCCCTTAGTGTCCATGAGCGTCCAGTGAGTAGCTGATGGTCAGAGGGAAAAAAGCCATTGATAGAAAAAGATTGTATATGTCACAATCTTTTAAGATGGCAGTAATACACTGACCAGTTGTAGACAGAAGAGTAACACATCCATGGACAGGTAGAGGTCTTAAACAACAGCACAGCTAATAAACAATGTTTCTAAGCAAATGTATAACTGGCTGACACTCTCGCCCATCAGTTCACATAGGCAGGGTGATGAATTCAAAATGGCTTCCTGCACAGTAGGCTGAATGGCCATTTCAAAGTGCACAAATATTAATCTCTGTAGACAGGAGATGTACCACATCCAGGTGGCATTATTCAGAAGTGTTTGTAAGCCTGTAGAAAAGATTAGGCCCCTAAATTACCTGAATAATCTTGATGACAAGGAGAGAAAGCTTTCAGTCAAAGATTCAAGAGTCAGAGATGAAAAACTGGACAGAGAGTTGTTACATATTTCTACTGCAGGGTAAACATCACTGAGGGTGGGTTTAGTGACTCTACTGTGGTCATAATTCATTAGGACTTTTTGGGTATCCGCAGCAGTACGTGCTTGCATCCAGAGGATTCACTTGGAGTCCCAAGACATCCTCTATCACATTAGGCTGTGGACCAGGTAAGGTGGCTGTCACCAGCAGGCTGGCCACTGACTAGCTTTACAGGGCTAAGATCCTCAGCATTAGCCGCTGGCATTCTGGCAAACCTTTCAAGGCAAGCCAAAATTCCTTCGCTCTGTCTCGCATGGATTTGCCACTATGTGGCTTCCTGTTGCCGTCTTGTGGCCCTCTGTCTCCAGATAGAGGAGATAGGAAGTGAGTCAAACTATGGCATCACAATGTTGTCACATTTGTTTATGGAGGGTCATTTTTTCTCTTGATTCTGTTAAAGCAACCTCTGGCATCTCTAACAAGCAGTTTTTTTAAATATCTCTCTCTACGACATGCAATTTTGACTCAGTTTGGTTTCCTAGAGGTACAGCTTTCTAAGTGGTGACTGGAAGTGGTGGGCCTCTTATCAAACCAATGTATGACATATATGCTTTTCTTCAAGCCAGGGAACCATGCTAATTTTAGACAGCCAGACACAAATGGTCCACTTTTATCCCTTCTTTAACTCCAGATCTCTAATTATTTCAGTGAACCAGACCTGTTCAAGATCCTTCCAAATGTATATGGTTTTATGGTGTTTGGGCTTGGTTTTGTGGGTCCTAAAACAGGTTTGTCTCTTGGGGTTAAATTACTAATTTGTGCCAACAGTTGCCCTGCTGACCATGTTCTAAATTGGAAATCTATTGTCCCTCCCGAACGGTACCAATTAGTGGGTATCAAAAAAAACACCAAAAATTCATATAGGGTTTTGTAGGTTGCCAATTAACTCAGCCTGGCTGTGTCATTCGACACCTAAGGGCTTGTTCACACCAAATGCAGACCAGATCTTCATGAGTTTCTGCACACGCAGTGTAGTGTGTTTTGCCGCATTTTTGCTGCGTTTTTGACGCGTTCAGGGCCGTTTAGGTTAAAATGGGCTTCCAGTGCGTTTGCATAAGTTCCAGAGAAGGTAAAATAGGGCTTGCTGCAGCTTTTTTTTACATGCTCTGGAACTGAACGCTCCGGTGTGAACTAGAGCCCAAAATACCATTGGAATACAATGGACGCAGTTTTGATCCGCCCTGTAACTGCTCTGCTCCTGGAACGCGCTTGGTGTGAACTAGGCCTAAAAAAACCCTACATACATTTTTGTTGATTTTTCAATAAACAATAAGGGCTTGGTGCCAGTATACTCAGAAGCACGTTACGTAAACCTTTTTTCTAAACTCAGTAAAAAATCACTTTATATCCTCATATGGTTAATTGAATTAGTTGGAGGGGTTATCATAATTCAGTAGTGTTTTTTATTGTTTTATGCTCTGCATAAAAATACAGCTAAAATGCATTTGGTCTTTCCTTTTTCTTGGTAACAGAGAGAAGAAATACTTGCAGAGTTGACAATACACCAGGGACTAGTAAATGGAGCTGAATTTTGGCTTAACAATTTCCTTGTGTGCATTTCTGAAGACAGAACATTTTCGGTAATAATCTAATACAAAAATCAGTAATGTACGATTGCAATATGCTGCTTCCTTTAGGCTGGGTTCACACTTGGGCGTTCGTAATATGCGCGTTTGATGCGCGTTTCAGCTCCTGTACTAGTTTGGATGTTGGACGTATTTCAGCACGTTGTGAAGCGCTGAAATACACCCAGATGGGAACCATGCCCATTGGAATTAATGGGATTTCACTGCTTGAGCGTTTTACAGCGCTTCGATCAGCGCTGTAAAACGCCCAGTTGTGAACCTGCACTTAGCAAAGTGAAAGTTTTTGAAGTCTGAAAACACCTACTGCCAAGATTATCAGAAAACTCAGATAATGAGTAAAATAAAGAAATATAATTATTATAGTCTGACATATGTATCTAATGAACATGGATCTCATCATGGGAAACAATAAAAAGGTACATTTTCATTTTAACGTTAGCCTGTACTCAATTTTAATGTTAAAGACCTGCCTAAGAACAGGAAAGTCAGGAAATCACCAGCACTCAGTAGTAAAGATAAATATGTCCCTTTTATTTGACAGAGAGCGTCACAGACATCCAAATAAACCGACGTTTCAGGGCCGCGCAGGGTCAAGGCAGAAAGATGTGACCTTTGGTTGGTCACATCTTTCTGCCTTGAGGAAGGGACTTTATTTGGATGTCTGTGACGCTCTCTGTCCAATAAAAGGGACATATTTATCTTTACTACTGAGTGCTGGTGATTTCCTGACTTTCCTGTGTTTGCACGGCGCCATCCGTGGTATCTCATCACTGCAAGTACCACTTTTTTCATATCTGGCCGGGACTGCTGTGAGGAGTGCGCAGGGTCTCTCCATCTACTTACATCTGCCTAAGAACAGACACCATAAGATGCCTGCTATTATTTTTGATTCAATTGCTTTTCTACTAGGGCCCCGCTATCCCTTGCTATATGGCTTCAGCCTTACCAACTGTCATTCCACTGTCCAATGAGGCTTTTTTTTGGGGTCTGGACATTGTGATTGTTCCAGAGAATGGCATTTGTGAAGTAAACCTATAAAAACAGAGAACCTTCTGAGGGGTGATTAAATAAATGATTAATGTAATAAAATTTTATAAATAATGGCTTCCAGGGGTTAAATAGCTATCATGCAAAAAATGTATTGCACACCGAGGAATACACATACAGTAAATTGGATTAACTTTCTGACTTTAGCATTGCTACTATGTTTAGTGGATAACATTAGATGCTTCCTGAATGCTTTTAATTGTAGCCTGCAATTGATTTTTACATTTTAATAATTGCAGATATGGGACTACCATTCAGGACATTTGGTTTTCCAGTCTGGAATAATATCAGGTATGATACTTAGATGAAATGCATTGCTTTAGTTTATATGTTTATTTGCAGTGTGAACAAATAACTGTATGTAGTATAAACGTGACAGAAAGCTGGACATTAAATCCGCAATACGCATGGTAAATTCTGAAAGTAAACCGAAGTATGAGGATATTTGACATTACTGTTTATTTGTCTTGTGATGCAGTGTGGCAGTCAGCATCTTTGGATGAGAGCGTGCTGTTTTCTGCAGCAGCACACTGTGAGTGCAGGGCGCCATGCCTGGGGGGGGCGAGCAGGACACCCTGCACTCACTGACTTTCCTCAGTCTTCCAAGTTAAGTGAAGCTGGGTAATGGAACCTGGTAGGCTGAGGACAACTTGTGGCGAAGAAGAGGAGTACTGCAGACAACAGCTTCATATTGAAGGCAAGTATTGTAGCCAGGGCTGCTTTTTTTCTCTTGTTTAGCCTCCAGGGGGATATTGAAAATTTAGCCCAGAGTTGGGCTTTAGAGTCAACCCCAGAAACCTCTGTTCCTCTCTATTGAAAAGAGATGTATGCATGTTTTTTTCTAATATAAGACAAAGGCATCAGATTTTCTGTAGACACCACATATACAGATCTTGCCAAAGCTGCTGTGCCACGCTTCCATGGTGATCCTTTTGTTTACCATACAGGCATACCTGAATCTCAATGTGTTTGTGATGTTCTTAATGTTGCCTAGCACCACGGCTACATCTTAGCCTGCATTCACACCTGCGTGTTCGGTGAACGCACACCAAAAGCGCACAAAACCGCGCACTTTGGTGCGCGTTGACAGAAACACTGCAGAACGTGGAACGCACTTTCCTTGCCATTGATTTCTAAAGGCACCCCAAATGCGGCCAGGAAGCCAAAAACATGGAACGCATGTCGCAAAATGTGCTACATGAGTCTTTTTGCCAAATTTGTTGCGCGTAAAGGACCCCACTGATCGCAATGGGGATGCGTGGCAAGCGCAGCACACGAACAAGCACAAGCACGTGTGAACGTGACGCATGTTCCCAGAATGCTGTGGTGTAAATGCAGGCTTATTGTTATTGCCATAGCGATATAGTGAGGATGTTGTTCATTGATATGCTTTTGGTGCTTTCCTTTAAAGGCTCAGTCCACCCAAAATTGTTACGTTTTTTCGGAGAAGCTAGAGAGTTAAACTACCTCATACTGTCTTATATCAGTGGATCAACAATGGCAGTGAAATCACCACCAAGCATACATTTTTCCTGCTAAATGGTCTTAACAGCTTTGTACATTTTCTTTAAAAAGGTTTGCAGGAACTGATTAGGGGCATAAACAATTACATCTGTATAAAACGCTATTTTATGTCGCAGCTAAAATAATATAATTTGGGCGTTTTGAAGGTCCTCATCAGGCACAGATTGTTGGTGTTTGGGGGTACTGCTTCTGGTCTGAGGAAGAGATTGTATTGAGAATGCCACTAAACATGATGGTGTTGCACATTGATTGGTATTCCTGAGCTCCTGGTTTTCATGAAAAAATGTCTTCTTGTGAAAGCATTTGTGAGAGTCCACTAATTTATTGCAAGCCTCAGCAATTTTACCCGTTTCATTTTCAATATGGTAAGTATGATAGGGTTCCACAGATCTTCTGAAACATGCTGAATTTTAGCAAGCTCACTGGAGAACTCTCTAGACGCAAAGAGTCACACACAGATAGCATGCTGTGCAGTGTATTTCCACCTTTGCAGACAAATTTGAAAAGAATGTGTCGCCATTCACACATCATAGCTAGAAATATTTTTTTTACAAATATTCCTTACAGTTTTAGTGTTTAATTGGAGCAGGATTTTACATAGGACTATTTGGGCAGCTTGTTTTTCTTTGAAAAGATGGCAATGTGGAGACAAGGAACAGACTGGAGGGACAAGACTGATAGACAGTACATTAACATACAATGTTCCGTTCAAGTTTTGTGGTCTTTAACCCCTTCGTGACTGACGACGTACAGTGTACGTCGCCAGCATCGGGGCTGTTTAAACAGACTCCCGGCGACTTTTGCCGCCGGGAGTCTGTTTAAATTTGTAGAGCCGACTGTCAGCTTTACAACAGAAGTGATCCTGGCGACTTACCTGTCACCAGATCGCTTCTGTGTCCCGAAGAAGGGGCCGCCCCCCCCCG